TGTTCGGTTCTGACCTACGTTGTTCTGTTACAATGTCCTCTTTTATCTCAATCTCTCCCCTTTTTTTAAATTAATCTATTTTTCTCATTTTTTTAATTAAGGGAAAACTAAATTTAAAAATAGAAGGATATATTATAGTAACTTTTTTGTTTTCCTATTAACCTGACATGAACCCCAGTGTTGCTCTCTCCATCTTGTTCTGTCTGATTTTACTATATTCTGTTTTGTAGGATAGTATCAAGTTTGAGGGTATAGGCAACCACTTTGAAGGCAATAAGATATACTATGATGCCCATTATGGTTTGACTATTATCTTTTTTTAAAGTCCTGAAAGGTCGTCAGTGTAGATTTTATTGGTGTTGTTCTGTACTGTTTTGATCAATTCTATTATACCTGATGATATAGGCAACTCAATTTAAAAATAGCAAGAGGCACAATGGTAACCACTTTTGATCACCTGGTATTCTATTTTTGCATCATGTACTATGCCCATCCTTGTGTTCTGACTCTGTTTTGCTTAGCCACGTTTGGTTTTATTCTCTTCAAAAAAAGTAATAAGAACTGTGGGAGGAATAAAACCCAAAAAGTATAATAGTTATTGTAAAAAAGAGAGGAAAGGAAGGTGGACTAAGGGATATAACCGCAGGTGTGTTTGAGTGTGTAGGATGAAAAACCATATTACTGAGCTTTTGCTGGATCATTGAATGGAACTGTCTCCAATATCACTGAATGAATGTCCACTTTATATGCTTTAATTTTATAATTTGGACAACTGTTTCTAAGAAGAGAATATGTAACCTATTAACTAGTGATTTCTTACTGTATATTTTTTTCTTGATATTCTGTATTACTTGTACCCTTTTACTGCTTTATGTCCTTTCTTTTTTGTCTTTAAATAAAAAAAATACAAATGAGTTACACATATATATACAAAAAGATACTTGAAAAGAACAGTGCTATAACAAAATGTAAGAACCATCTCAAGAAAGAGAATAAAACAGCTGAAAGAATATAAATCACCTTATAAAGTAAACCAATTCTACTTCTAAAGCGAAAGAGAAAATTGGCTACCAAAGCAAATATTCTAACAGTATTTAAAATACCTCACAAAAATCATAATACTCTAACCTTATCTAGCTGAACCAGACTCATTCAGATTAGATAGATAAATACTCAGAATGGAATTACTGCCTAAGGACGAAAACACCATATTCAGTCTACAGCTTCAGAAAAAGCCTAAATCTTCCTATCTTACTTTCACTTTCACTTTTCATTTTTCAAATAATGCTGAATAATCTTCCCTGGGAGACATGTTTCCTCTACGAAAGCTTTTGAAATATCAAAATCCCTTAATAGGATTTAAAGAACAAATGCTACTATCAAATATTTTACAAGTGTTGGAGAGTGGTAGATACTAGAAACATGGCTAAGATTTTGAGGAAAAAAACTCCACATAAAACATACCTGTAGATAATATCAAATTCCCTTAAAACTCCTAAGCACACATACTTTTATTTGTTATACAAACTACAGGAGATTTAAAGAATGGTAGTTTGCAAACTTGTGTTATAAAAGAAAAACATTCACTTGCATATATATATACACATATATGCACATACAAAGAAAAAAGATCAGAAAGGTACAGTCTAAATTCTTGCCTTAGGTAAGTCTAAGTTCTTAAGAACACTGTCAATTTTTACTTCCTTCTTTTTGCTTGTCAGTATTTCTTAAATTCCTGCATTTAACATGCACTGCTTTTGTAAGAAAATATTATTTAATAAGTTTGCATTATTTTTACAAGAAAAAAATCTGAGCTAGGTACAATGGCACATGCCTGTAATCTCAGTTACTTGGGAGGTTGAGGCAGAAGGATGCAAGTTCTAGATCAGACTGGCTAAATGGTGAGACCCTGTCTCAGAATAAAAATGGCTGGGGATGCTGCATAGTGGTGGAGTACTTGCCTAGCACATAGGAGCCCCAGGGTACAACCCTACCAAGGCAAACAAATAGCAAGGAAGCAGTATATTGGCATACTTACTATACTGCACAAACTGACAGCTAAACCACTTAACTTTAATGAGCAGGCAATTTTTGGAAAGTATCTTCTCTACAGTATCAAAAAGTGACATTAAAAAACTGATAAATGCATCATTTTATACTTGAAAAAATGAGAGTCTTAAATGGTTGCTACTTTGTAACATTAGTGCCTACCTGCCACAAGTTACTTGGACAATACTAAAATTTCTTTTCTTTTCTTTTTTTTTTGGAACCAGGCATCGAACTGATGACTGTGCACTTGCAAGGCAGGCGCTTATGCCACTGAGCTAAATCCCCAGCCCCAAAACTAAAATTTCTATCATAAAATTTCTATACCAAAAAAGACTAAGGGTAAATGAAAGTTGAATGCAATTATTTTCAACTTTTTTTCTTTCTTTTTTTTTTTTTTTTATATCAGGGATCAAACAATCTTGCACTTACCAGATAAGTGCTTGAGCCACTGAGTTAAATCCTCAGTTCAACTATTTTTCAAGAAGTAACTCAATTTCATCTTTCTCCCAGACCATAATGATCTTTCTTTTCTGTGAATACTCAGTATTTACTCCTGAAATCACTATTTTAATAACCAAAACAGTATTAACTAGTAATAGGTCTTTTATCATACAAAATTATCTTTTTTTAAATGTCTTGGTCCCTTCTATGGATTATATCTAATGTGTTGGATCCTCTATAACAAATATGTTGCATTCCCCTAGTACTGTATATATAGCAGGCTAAAAGCACAGCCTATTTTTCTAAGTGATTTTACACACATGATGCAAGAAAACAGAAGACTTATAAAGGTATTTACTGGGTTACTGCTCCTCCTAGACTATATCTCATGCTAAAATCACTTGCTTGTCAAAGGCCTTAGTATTCAAAATAAATGTCAAATTTACTTTCAAAACAAATTTACTCCTTTGGAGATTGATTTACAGGCAGAACCACAAACTAAACATGGGAGTTTCACACAGCAATCTCACTTGAGGAGCAGTCTATACCACAGATGTTTAACAATTCAATTCCAGGTATGTCTTTCTTCTTTACAAAGAACTCAAGAAAAGATTCTCAAAAGCCTTTCCATTTTCTTGGGTAGGAGCCACAGCCAGAAAATCAGATAAATGCCTTTCTCTTTACAAAAGCAGTAGTACTTTTTGTTCATATATGTCAAAAAGTCCCAGATTAGTATTTTCTTTGTGCACATCTAGAATACCAAATGTGATCTCTCCTCAAAACTTTTCCAAATTCCTCCAACCAGAAACAATCTCTTCTCTATATTACCTGAAACGTTTGATTGCGCTTGACACATCACTTTCTAGATCGTGCTGTAATTATTTGTATGCATATCTGAGTTTCTTACTGAATTGTAACTTCTTTTGAAACAGAGCTCCAGTCTGGCATGGTCGTGCACACCTGTAATTCCAGCACTTGGGAAGCTGAGGCGCAAAATCCCTTTGGGTTTGAGGGCCAGCCTGAACTGCAGTGAAACTATGTCTCAAACAGATCAAAAAAAAAAAAAAAAAAGGCATGGTCCATTGTCTTATTCTTCTTTGCATCCCTCAACATTTAACACTATACAGTGCACATGCATACTAAAAATTTTCTTGTCAAATGAACTGTAAAGCATCTGAACCATAGCATAATACTTCAACAGTAATCTATAACTGATCAACGATACGCTTAGACTTCGTAGATCAAAAAACAAAACATTTTTAAAATTATGTATGAGTATGTACTTGTTAATAAAGAGCCAGTATGATATAGTATTTACAGGGAAAAGGCCTGGACTCAGGCTGCACAAATTTAAACACTGGTTCTTGTCATTTGTGATCTTAGACAAATTTATATCTTTTTTCTTTAACTTTTAAGACACGGTCTCACCATGAGATCCAAGCTGGTCTTGAAATTTGCTGGTATCCTCCTGCCTCGGCCTCCCAAGTGCTGGGACTACAAGTGTGCACCACCGTACCTGGCAATCTTAGACACATTTCTTAATTTCTGTGAGTCAAACTAACATCTGCAAAGTGGAGACACAATAAAGCCTATCTCAAAAGGTTAAATGACTTGATGTAAATCGCTTTACATGGTACTTAACACACAGGTGTTCCGCATTATGACTACTAATTATTTGTCAAGTGCTAAACATTTATACATAGCTCAGTTCTCCCAACAACTTTTGAGTTGGGTATTAATAATCTAACAAGTGAGGAAATTTGGGCGCAGCAAAATAACTTGCACCAAGTCATAATGCACTTAAGTGATAAGGCTTCGGTCTCCTAACTCCATTAACTTCTTAAATACAAGGAACACCTGGCAGTCAGCGACATCAAGAAAAGGAGGGCTGGCTCTGTGGCTTGGGAGGGGAGGTGGAAGGAAAATACCAATCTTCTTGTTCTAGTCTCACACTCCCCAGGATCTCACTTATGCCGCCAGCAAACTAATCTTATACTTAGCGACAGTAGACGCTCTTCAGAGATTTTGGAAGTCTAGGGAGCTTGGTACGCAGCAGACGCTTAAACTGTCACACTCTCACCTAGCAAAGCACTGACCCAGAAACAAATGCCAGACTTGTCTGCTTGACTCCTTAGTTCTAAAAATACAGGCGGTTAAGACAGGCTGCGTTCCACCTCCCGCACCTCCCTAGGACTCACCCAACACCCCACGAACACCCTCCGGCGGCCCTCACCCAGGCCCAGTCGGGCCTCTCCTGCTTCCGCTCACCGTCCTTCATCTGGACAATACTGCTGGCCGCCACCCGGTCGGAGGCCACAAGGACGTAGTCTGGGCCCTGAATGCCGATGAGGTACTCCATGATAGAGGAAAGCCCGAGGTTGCAGGTACGACAGACAGACGGATTTCCCGGCTTCTCTGCCTCGCAGGTGAGACAGCACTGTGGAACCAGGGTCCGGGACGCGCAAGTGGAGCGACCACTCCGACCGCTGGCGCTCTTTGATGACGTAAACTTTATCGCGAGAGGTTGGAAAACGAGAGCAGCGTAATGTGTATTTTGTTAAGTGTTCGGGACAGGGATTTTCTTACTATCCGCTGTGCTTTCCTTGTGCAACAAGTTTGTTTGTTTGTTTGTTTGCTTTTTTTTCTTCCCTTCCTTTGCTTTGGCTTTTTTTTTTTTTGAGACGATCTTGCTGTGTTGTCCAAGTTGGCCCGGAACTCCTGGGTTCAAGCGATCCGCCTCCCACTGCCTGTGGAGTAGCTGAGTCTACAGGTACAGTCCACCGCGCCCAGCCCACCACATAATTTATCTACAGAATGGAATTTTAAAGTTCACTTGAAGCCGGGAGTGGTAGCGCACGTTTGTAATCCCAGCACTCGAGAGGCTTAGGCAAAAGGATTGCCACGAGCTCGAGGGCAGACTGGGCTACGCTGTGAGTTCAAAACCAGCCAGAATTACGCAGCCAGACCCTGTCTCCGAAAAAGAAAAAAGTAAGCTAAACAACCGAAATAAAATAAATTTCACTTGAAGCCGGGCATGGTGGCACACACCTGTAATCCAAGCACTTGTGGGGTGGAAGCAAGAGGACCACAAGTTAAAGGCCAGCCTGGGATACACAGTGCGTTCCAAAGTGACTCTAAAAACAATCGCCTACAGATAAAATTATGCACTCTAAAAATGCCTAGCAAAGAGGCATTTTGCCAATGAGGGGTGGGTCCTTAGAAATTAAATTTCCTTCATTGCTGGGTAAAAAATTTCACCAGAAATTCTTGCAAACTCGATTAGAGAAAAAGTAATCATTTTAGGAAGTACTCTACCTGTATCATTAACAAAAATAGTGTATGTTTGGATTAAAAATGTAAGCATTAAGCCAACGTAAAAAACAATAGAAGAGGGGCTGAGAATTTAGCTCAGCGGCATAAGCACCTGCCTTGCAAGCAGGCGGTTGTGAGTTCGATCCCCAGTACCGATAAAAATGAAAAAGACAAAAAAAAAAAAAAAAAAAAAAAAAAAAGAAGAAATTAGAAAAGTATTGTGATAATCATTGAAAGAGATGTGTTTCTAAGTGACATGAAACCCAGAAGCAATGCAGGAAAAGACTTGATAGACTTGACTACATAAAACTGTAAATCTGCAGAACATCATCCTAATGCTTGAAAATAAATAGATGTTGGGAGAATTTTAATAAATATATATTGTCTGTAATTTAAAAGACATTTTTACACCGGGGCAGTGGCATGTGGCCATGGTTACAGTTACTTGTAGAATGCTTGCCTAGCATGCTCCAGCATAAAATAAATCTCCAGCAATAAAATAAAAAACACTTTAATATACTTTGTGTCTGGTGCTAGAGATTGAACTTAGAACCTTCTCACTGAGCTATGTCTCCAGCCCTTTTAACTTTTTTATTTACTAGAGACAAAGTTTAGCTAAATTGGCCAGCCTGGGCTTGAATTTGCAATCCTCCTACCTCAGTCTTCCAGAGTGCTGGAATGACAAGTGTGCACTATCACACCCAGATCTACTGTACATAATCTTTTAAATACATTCAAAGAATCATTTTCACACATAATCCAAATATTTGCTTGCAAGATATTGTGTTGCTGCACTGCAACAATAGTGGGGAAAAAAAGGACAAATTTACATGCCTAAGTAGAGAAATTGTTATATAAACAATGATGTATTCATTCAGCAGAATATTATGCAATCATGAAAAAGAATGAAATAGCTGTGCATAGTGATGCAGGCCTGTAATCCCAGCTATTCAGGAGGCTGAAGCAGGAGTATCACAAGTTCCAGGCCAACCTGGGCAAATTAGGAAGTCCTTGTCTCAAAGCTGGCTATGCAGTTCAGTGGTTGCACTCTTGCCTTATATGCACAAAGCCATAGTTTGATCCCCAGCACCACAAGCAAACAAATAAACAAAAAACACTTGTTTCAAAGTAAAGAGTCTAGATAGCTCACATTTTTAATCCCAGCACTCTGTAAGGGTGAGGCAGGAGAATCAAAGACAAGCCCAGCCTGGGCAATTTTAGTGATTTACCAAGACTATGTCAAAAAGCAGGGAGGACTAAAGATGTACCTCAGTGATAGAGTGACCCAGGTTTGATATCCACTACCCGAAAGAGAAAGAAATATATCTAGATATTTAGATAGTCTGTGGCCCAAGATACATTATGTGAAAGTGAAATAATTCTTTCCTATATTTTGCATAATGCCATTTTACTTAAAAAATAAAATTTAAGTATTAATGAAAAATATGGTTACAGATGTTCCAGTGTCAAGTTACATATACTCATTTGGTGAGAACTTTCACTTTTTATTTTATACACATTTGTTTTGTTTAGATGTTTTGCAGTACGCACACACTGCTTGGTTTTTATTTTTATTTTGGTTTTTTTGTTTTGGGGGGATTTTTTTAGTTCATTTTTATTTTTTGGTACTGAGAATTGAACCCAGAACTTTGTTCATACTATGCATGCATTTTACCACTGAGCTACACTCCCATACCATTACTTGTAATGGGAAAAATAACCAGCCATCTCTTTTAAATCTTGTGACAGTTCTGAAAAAAAAACAAACATGATTAGGTTTTGACATCTACAATTGTCTTTATACTGACCTACTGAGAGATAGAAAAAGAATTGCAATTGTATCTCCAAACACAAATATGCAATTCATTTGCCTCTGCAGAAATTGGAGTACTTATTTCACTGAGAATGTTCCCTCCAGCTCTCCACCAATAAAGGAACGTAGAGCCTGAAGAGTTTGGGGCAGCCTATCTATCATGGGTAGATCCCAAGGGCAGTGAGGTCATTAAGTCAACCATCTCTCTGTGAACATAGCTGCATCCATCATTCTAGAAATATTCTTTCTTAAACAGTGCCAGAGGACCCCACACACACATCAATATACAGTTAATTATCTCTCCCCGTTCCACCAAAGGTAACTACCCACCAAATGTCTGCATCCTTCTGGAACCTTTCCTTTGTATATACAAATATTCATTTAATCACAAAAGCTGCAAGACTCTAAATTGAGGGATCTGCTATCTCCAAAAAAAAATTTTTGCAATCTTTTTAAAAAAAAGTCTGACAATCTTTTAACATGGCTCTTTCCTCTTCCCCTCTAAGATTTTTTTTGTCTTTTTTTCTTTTTTATCGGTACCAGGGATCGAACTCATGACCACACACTTGCAAGGCAGGTGCTTATGCCGCTGAGCTAAATCCCCAGCCCCGCCCTAAGATTTTTGAAAGCCAGAGGGCTGGGGATATGGCTCAGTGGCAGAGTTCTTGCTTTGCACGCACATGGCCCTGGATTCAATTCCCAGCACCACACACAGAAAATACTAGAATTGCCCTAAGTTCTTGTTGGTATAAAAGAAAGTGGGTTTTCAAGACCTAACTTGTGCTATTTCACTAAATAGATCTCCTCCAATTAAAGATTTAGAATAATTGACTTAGAAAGTCAGAGTTATGATGCAGACATGACCACGTCCAAGAATTATATCAGTACAACCAGTTTCAAAAATTGCACAGTAATGGGATCAAGAAACCCAATCATAAAGCTATGACTCTCTTAAAGGGTAAACTTCAAGTTCCTGAGGAACATGTGCTTTGGCGTTTAACTTTTATAAATGTTGATTGATAACAATTGACAATTAGCATATTTTTACAATTATCAATTTAATCAGAGAATTTTTCTCAGACAAATAAGTCACCCTTGCATAGGAGGCTGTGTACTTACATACACCCCTTGGCCAATGCTTGACATGGGGATAGAAGGTCAGTTCCCTTAACTAAAAGTAAGACAAGGGACTGGGGATTTAGCTCAGCAGCATAAGCGCCTGCCTTGCAAGCAGGCAGTCTTGAGTTCAATCCCTGGTACTGATAAAAAGGAAAAAAGACAAAACATAAAAAATAAAAGTAAGATGTAATTTTTCCTCTGGAGTTTCTTTATGAGATCATTCTAAAGCCAGTTTCCAGCCCACATTTTTGCTTAGCTGGGGTTTTTGTTTTTGCTTTTGTTTTTTTGAGACAAGGTCTCACTGTGTAGTTCAAGCTGCTCTCAAACTTGCAGCAATCCTCTTACCTTAGCTTCCAGAGTGCTGGCATTACAGTGTTCACCACCATGCCGGCTTGCTTAGCTTTTACCCACCACTGTCTTGCTTTCCTTACTGTTTCTTCTGAGAGTACTCATTCAGTTAGTAATTTGAAAAAGCATCCTTATTTTAGTTTGCTTGTAGGGAGCTCAACCTAAAAAATATTTGGGACCAGAAGAAATCTCTACAAAACACTTTCCAAAGGATCCTGGTGTGGGATCAAACACTAACTAAATGCCAATAAAGATGCTAACACTGGTAGCGGAAAGAATGTTAGCAGTTCCTGACCTGCTGTAACAGTGCACTTGCTAAGACTGCCACTGTATCTAGCTTGAATGGGATACAAATGAAACAAGTTGGACATTTGAAAGTTTGAGAGAAAGTAATTATAAGGACAAGGAAATTAGGTGCCAAGTGCCATTGATTCATTGAGGAGAGAAATTGATTAGACCAAATCTGTTAACCAATTTGAAAGCAAAGTGTACAGAAACTCTCAGCAAAGGGGCTGGGGATTTAGCTCAGCGGCATAAGCGCCTGCCTTGCAAGCAGGCAGTTGTGAGTTCGATCCCTGGTACCGATAAAAAGACAAAAGAAAAAAAAAAGAAACTCTCAGCATAATCATTAAAGGAACCTTCATTTCTTACAGCTTGAGGGCAGAGAGCTGAAGATCAGGCCCAGAACTTATATGGAAAGCAACGGAATTTTAGAAAGACTGAATTGAACCCATACTCCTACCCAAAGTTAAGGTTTTGATAAAGAGTGAGACCCTTTTATTTGTTCATAACTGTATGATTAGGATGGACATCCATAACAGTTGGCAGAACTCACTCATAAAATTTTAACCTCATCCAGGCACAGTAATCTCAAAATTTAAAAGGAAGCCCAGGGATTTAGCTCAGTGGCATAAGCACCTGCCTGACAAACATGAGGTTGTGAGTTCAATCCCCGGTACCACAAAATAAAAAAAGGGTTAGGAATGTAGTTTAATGGCAGCATTTGTGTAGCATATACAAGGCCCTGGGTTCATTCTTCATTACCAAAAAAATTGCTTGACTGCTATAATGAGCAATATTGTAGTACTGGAGGCTATGTAGAAGCCTCAAATGTAAATATTATAGTATATGAAAAATGTCACATAGAAACTATCCAAAATGAAACACAGAGGAAAATGAGTGAAAAAAATATAGCATCATTGGCGATGTGAGTCAAGATCAAGTAGCCTAATGTAGTGTGTTTGAAGTCCCCCAAAACAGAGAGACAGAAATTTTATTTTAATTAATAGTAGCAAAAAGTTTCCAATTTGGGTGGAAAATGTAGATTTATATATCCAAGAATTTAAATAAATCTCGATAACAAAATCATGAAGCATGCTGTACGGATCCACAACACAATCAAATTACTTAAAACCAGTGATAAAAAGAAAACCTTAAAAGCAGTCAGAGAAAAACCCACATTATGAACAGAGTACCAAAGATACATATAACATCAGACTTTTTGTCATGATATAAATGCAGGAAACAGTGAGAAATCATCTTTAAAGTACCAGAAAAAAAAATTGTAGTAACAGAATTCCTTTCTTTTCAGAAGACATTTTCAACATAGAAAAACTGAAGCAAAGCTCATCATTATTCTGGAAGTGGGAAGAAAATAATACCAGATGAAAACCTAGAGCTACCCAAAGAGTTCTGGAAATGGAAAGATATGGGTAAATATAAAGGATTTCTTTCTTATGGTGGGTATGTTTTTTAACATAATTGTTTAAATTAAAAATAACATAATCATGATATATACTTATAAATGTTGCAAGAAAATTCCCAAGTCAAATCAAAAGGAAGACTGCATCAAGGAGATAAGAAGGCAGCATTATTTTGCCAGCAGACTGTTGCAGGATTATTCCCAAAGGCAACAGCTGTGACTTTATAAAGAGTTTGGTTTATGTGGCATTTAGAAATGGGAAGAAACAAGTGACAAAAGTTGCACAATTGGTTGTACGCATTGTGTCATATTGACTGACAGGCTAGTCTTGAACAGATTTGTTGAATTGTTTATCATAATATACAAATATTCAAGGAACCAAAGGAGAGGGTCCTTACAGTGTGAGCATAGTTAAATGTGTCCTTGACTATCCCAGGGTGTCTTAAGGCATAAATAATTACTCTAACTCAGTGCTTATCAGAGGTATGTAACTGGGCTTTAGACACTGTCAAGATCAATTGAATTTAGCAGAAACTTGGTCAGAGACTCCTAATTGCTCTCTAATTTGTATCATAAAATATCTGTAAGTTTGCTATTTTATAAATGTGTTCTTACATTATAAATCTGCCCCAACAGAAGTAAAATATAAGCCAATGAAAGTATCAAGGCTAGATTAGGGGAAATTGGAATACATTGCTGTAAAGTTTTTATACTGTACAAGTAATAGTATAGTATTACTTGAGGGTAGGCAGTGATAAGTAAAATATATATGCAAAAACCCAACCAACCATTAAAACAGTGCTCAAAAGATTATGTCTAATAAGCCAATAGAAAATATAAGATGGAATAACACACTATAAGAGAAAATAAAAAGATGAAAAAATGAACAGAAAGGATAAGGCCAAGAAAAACAAAGATGGTAAATTTAAATCCAACCGTATAATAATCACATAAATGATCCAGATATCTCAATTGAAAGCCAGAAATCGTCAGATAGATAAAAAGCATGACTCATCACATGCTGAATACAAGGTACCTAAATTTAAAGACACACAATGACTTAGGAATATATAAAACAGCTTTATTTGGAATAGTCAAAAATTGGAAAAAGAAGAAAGTCACACTGGTGAATAGGCAGCACATTGTGGTATAGGAATATGACGTAATACTGCTCAACAATAAAAACGAATGAACTTCTGATGCACACAACATTGATAAACCTGAAATAATTGTGAAAAAGGCAGACAAAAAGAGTATACCCTGTAAGGTTGCTTAATATAAAACTCTAGAAATGTAAACTAATCTATACTGGCAGAAAGAAGATCTGTGGCTGTCAAAGGACAGAATGGAAGGGAAAGATTGGATAAATGGGCATGAATAGATTATGGAGTGTAAGGAATATGTTCATTATCTTAATTGTGGTTTTGTCTTCACATATACATACATACGTCAAAAATTCAAGTTGTGTGTGCATGTTATTGTATGTGAATTGTATCTTAATAAAAGTATTTTGTTTTTGAAATTAATGTTACTGGTACATGTTAGATATACAAAGATAACATTCATCATAGAGAGTTTGTACCTGGACATGATACATCTTAATTCTTTTTTTCCATTTCCTTTCCCTCTGACCTCTCTTCCTCTCCTCATTACAAAAGCTTTGTTTCCATTTTTTCCTTCTCTTTTTTCCTTTCCTTCCCTTCCTTTCCTCCTCCTCCTGCCCTAGTTGCCTGAGACATGCAACTCAAAACACTGAGATTCCATCTTACCCTAGAAAGAATGATTATTATCAATAAATCAACCAATCACAAATGCTGGCAAGCTGCAAGGAAAAAAACATTTCTCCACTATTGATGGGCGTGTGGACTGGTGAAACCACTGTGGAAATCAGTATGGAAATTCCTGAAAACAGTAGGACTAGGGGGAGGAGCAAGATGGCAGACAGATAACAACTGGCTACAGAGGCTCTCTGAGATAGTCAACTTAGAATTCAACATAATACAGAGTGGGGAGCCCCAAACAGAGGGAGATTAATTCTCTTGTCCCAAGAACAAATTAAGGCAACCTGCTGACCATCCGAGGCCCTGCCACAACTGGCCGACTTGCCAGGGTCCCGCCATGACTTGCTGAGGTCCTGCCACGACTGGCCAAGGTCCCGCTGCGACTTGCCAAGCCGTCCGAGGGCCTGCCCCTTCAACTCACTGAAGGCGCAGTTACATTGAGTTCGAGGGTCAGCAAGCTGATCAGAGAGCTGAGTTGGTGGGGAACCTACGTCGACCTGTGGTGAGTGACAGGAGTCATTCCATAAATAGGGGACCCCCGACGGACAACATTCTGGGACCAGGCAGGACTGGCAAGTACAAGGGGCAGCAGTGACTTCAGTCAATTGTTCCCTTCCTGAATGGGATTGGTGGAGTGAGCTAGGCCTGGGTCACGCCACCTGGCTGAGACCTAATAGGTTATCTGAGGTCAAGTCCCTGCAGCAGTGGCACACTAACCACACTGGCCCAGTGGCACCTTGGAACTTTGGCTGGTCCGGAGAGGAGGCAGTGCAAAGTAATACAATAGTGCAGGCCACAGCAGGTTGACTGATCTGGAAGGGAGGGGCCGGCATATGCTGTCCCTGTCTGCAATTCATTAGCACACTGCAATGTGAAGGGTCATCTAGCCAGCATGCTTCAGAAGAACTGTAACCAACAAAGAAAGAAACTGGGGCCTCCTGGAAGAAGCAAAAAAGATGGGAAGAGGAAGCAATAACAAAAAGTCCCCAGGCCACAACCCTGAGAACATTGACCCAGGACAGGTAAATACAAAGGAGAGTGAGAATAGCAAACATGTAATATCAGACACAGTGCCAGTGGACATAAAGATATATTCCGGTCCTCATAGACGAGTTCAAAAGTGAAATATTTAGCCAAATAAAGCAAGATATAAGAAAATTAATAAAAGAGATACTAAGCACCCCTCAAGCAGACACAGACAGAAGAAGAGAGGAACTTAAAGGAGAGAACCATCTGGTGAGGAACATAAAAAAAAATATAGAATACATGAAGTGGATTCAAAGAGATCACCAGGAAATTAAAAACTATGGAAAGATGGCAAAATAGGTTGAAAGAAACTAAGGTTAGGGGCTGGGGATTTAGCTCAGCGGCATAAGCGCCTTGCAAGCAGACAGTCGTGAGTTCAATCCCTGGTACCGACAAAAATGAAAAAAAGTCAAAAAAAAAAAGAAACTAAGGATAGATTATCCAAACTGGAGGACAATTTTGCAATCTGGGAGTATGAAAGGGAAAACTTTTTAAAAATAACAAGGAAACAAGCACTAACAATACAAAGGCTAGAAGATGACAAAAGGATCTATAACTTGAGAATAAAGAATGTAACTGAAGAAGCTAGGATACAAACAAAGGAACTACAAAGGTTATTCACAGAAATAATTAAGGAAAACTTCCCAAACATAGGAAAGAGAAATGATATTCTGATATATGAGGCATACAGAATTCTAGCCACCTACAACCAAAACAGAGTTACATCCAAGCATATAATAATCAAGATCCCAGAAATTCAGTATAAGAACAGAATATTAAAAGCTGGTAGAGACAAGAAACAGATAACCTACAGAGGAAGGCCCATCAAAATAATGGCAGACTTCTCGACACAAACCATCAAATCAAGAAGAGCCTGGAGTGAAATATTCTAAGCTCTGAAAGAAAATAACCTCCATTCCAGATTGATATACCCTGCTAAACTGTCTCTAGAAATTAATGGAGAAACAAGATGCGTCCAAGACAAAGAGGAACTTGGAAAATTTGCAACCACCAGTCCAACTCTACAGAGAATAATCCAGGGCATTCTAGAGAGAGAAAAGTACTAAGACTCCAGGAACAGTGGCAGAGAGGCCTCAATGAATGGAGCAGAAAACAGAATAAAGAAGATAAGCAGACAACTGATGGCAAAAAAAGAGCATAAAGAAATGAGGCAGAGAAGATTTTATTCAAAATTGATATGATTGATAGTATCAAGTCTGAGAATATAGGCAACTTCACTGAAGATGACAAGACTCTACAATACACATTCTGGTTTGATAACTGCTAGTTTTTGAAGTTCTGTACTATATACAAAGTTGTGCTTTTATTAGTACTGTTATGTACTGACAATTATACTATGATGATATAGCCAATTCTATTGGGGATAACAAGAGACAACACAGGAACTATCGTAGAACTCTTTGTACAACAGTCTTAAATGTTTATTTTGTTTCATGTGTTTATAGGAATATGTTTTGTTTTGCCTTACTTTGTTTTATTTCTCCCTCTAATATAGAAAAGATAGAAATACATGTTAAGACTCATACATGTGTAGAATCTATAAACAGTTTATGAGACATGATCATATGACACATGATGAACAGATACTTTGAAGAAAAAGAGACACTAAAATACCCAGTGCTGATCCTGGAGTGTCATAATGTGAAACCCAGCAATACTATTATTCTTTTTTTTTTTTTTGTCTTTTTCATTTTTATCGGTACTGGGGATCAAACTCACGACCGCCTGCTTGCAAGACAGGTGCTTATGCTGCTGAGCTAAGTCCCCAGCCCCAATACTATTATTCTTTGTTCAGAATGATTTTAACCTGCTTTAGTTTGTTTAATCTAAACATAAATGAAGATATGGATAACTGCATGTGTGTTTAAGTATATAGCATTGACAACCATGTTACTAAGTTTTTGTTGGACAGTTGAACAGAACTGTTTGCAGTCTCACTGTTTGAATTCCCACTTTACATGTTCCATTTTTGTATCTTGAACAAATGTAAAACGACAATATGTAAACATCAACTAGTGATTTCTTACTGTTTATTTGTTTCTCTGAAAGTATGTATTATTCCTACCTCTTTTCTGTTTTGTTCAGTCTTTCTTTAAATAAAATTTTTAAAAAATTAAAAAAAAAACACTAGAACTAGAGGTTTAATTTGATCCAGCTCCTCCCCTTTTTGGTATCTTCCTAAAAGAATTAAAATCATCATACCACAGTGACATACACACACACTTTTTTTTTTTTTTGGTCTTTTTCCTTTTTATCGGTACCAGGGATTGAACTCACAACTGCCTGCTTCCAAGGCAGGCGCTTATACCACTGAGCTAAATCCCCAGCCCCACACACACACATTTTTACAGCACCACAGTTTGTAATAGCTAAATCATGGAAATATCCCAAATCCCCATCAAGAGATGAATGGATAAAGAAGTAATTTTTAATACAGTGGAATACTCCTACTACTTTGTCATAAAAAAAGATAAATGAGACATTTCCTTGAGACCATACTCTAAATGAAATAAATTGGACATACCTGTTAAAGCATCATATTGTTTCTCTGATGTGTGAAACTGAAAGGGTCAGTGAGAACCAAAATGTATAATAGATATTGTGAAATTGCAACATCAACAAGAAACACAAAATTGACACTCAAGATTTGGAGGCAGATTTATTTATGTCAACAGGCACTCAGTGAGATCATTCCTAAAACATCAGGCCCTAGTCTCTGGTGGTCTAGGGCCTATATGGGGTAAGCAAGCAGGAAGTACAGATGCAGAATGGCTGGTCAATTGAGGATTGCATTATATATCATAGTAACCAGCTATGCATGACATTGACCAGCTGTTTCTAAGAAACAAAAGCAACAGGGACCATAAGAGGAACTATAACCTGGGCAACTAAAAAACTGAAATTATACTGGCTGGGATGAGGGAGATCTTCTACTACAAAATAGGAAGAAAATTTTCAAATGAATAAGGTATTTTTTATTAAAAACAATATTTTAGGGCTGGAGATTTAGCTCAACAGTGTAAGTGCCTGCCTGATAAGCGCTAGGTCATGAGTTCGATCCCCAGTACCAAAAAAATGAAAATAAATAAAAATAACAACAATATTGTATTAGAGAGTGCAATGGTTTGAACGTGTCCCCTACAGTTCATGTGTTTGATAATGCAACAGTATTGAGAGTTGGAACCTTTCAGAGGTTATTGGATTAATGTTATTATCATAGGAATGAATTTATTATCACTAGAGTAGTTTTGTTATAAAAGCAAGTCCAGATGGGCATGGTAGCTCAAGCCTGTGATCTTGGCACTTGGGAGGCTGAGACAAGAGTACCACTGGGAGCTCAAGACCAGCGTGGGCTACATAGTGAGTCTAAAATATTTTTTTAAAAAGCGAGGTTAGCCCTTTATCATATTTGGTTGTTCATGTGATGTCTTCCATCAAGTTATGAAATAGCAAGGAGGACCTCACTACATACAATTCATCAATGTTGAATTTTTCAAAACTGTAAGAAATTTTTGTTCATTATAAATCTGCAGTATTTTGTTATAGCAGCAAAAAAAAAAAACCCTATCAAGACAGAAGAGTTGACAGAAATTGATGCCACCCTCAAATATTTGAAAGATGTCATGGTGGTTGTTCCATTAAATGGTAACTCCATTTAATTGGCAAATCTGGCCCATGTAAGGACTGAGTGGATTACCACAGATGACAGTCAACTGCTGCAAACTTAACCCAGTAATGGCTGCCATACCCCTGCTGTATTGGATTTGTTATGTTTTCTAGAGCAGAATAATACAACCATGAGTACATTTTTTGTACCTATTGATCTGGTGGTGCATTGTTTTCCATATCACTTAAGAAGGAAAATAAAAAGTAGTTTGCTTTCACATGGAATAAACAACAGTGGATACATTGATGGTATCGCCTCAAGGCTATTTTAATTATCCTATAATTACTAGTCCAATTTCTTATAAAGCCCAATTCCTTAACCAGATGACAAATCAATTCACATGACTCAAATGTAGCCCTCATGAGGTTTGTCAATTCACTAAGGACAGTAAATATATGCACTGATATGCTTATTGCCTTGATGCTACCACAAAAGATTGCCATTAGTAAAGGTGGAGAGCCATAATAAAAGAGAAATAGAAGCTAAAGAGATTTATGTATCACATCTTTATATTGGCAAGGTGCTAAGTGTAATCTTTAGGCAAAAACCTATCGAATGGAAAAATTTATGAAGGGGTTCAAAGATTATATAATAGGTGCAAAAATCTGACCACTAACTTCATATCCCAGGTGAAATGAAATTATTTAAGGAAATATACAATGTAGTTCTTTAAGGTAGATTTAGGAAGTTGTTTTAAATGCTTTCTTGGTCAGGACTGAGATATCTTGGATCATGTGTCCAGAGTTTCTTATAAACTCTTCTTATAATTCCAGTCATTCCTATTATTTCACAATTATTGGCTGTCTATTGTCTAGAGTCTCATGTGATTATTAAGCCACTTTTCTGATAGATGATTCAATATATGACTCAAAGATTTAAAAAACAACATTAAGATCATGTTGATTGACACTTAAAATTAAGCCTCTCCAAATTAAACTTCACCTTTATAGAAAATCAACAATAATGGTAAGTATCTGTCAATAATTATTGTTAATCTCTCCTATAGCCCTGAATGAGTGAAGACCAAAAGGAAAAAACAAGAATTTAAAAGTTCCCCTACTAAGCTGAGCATAGAGGTACATGATTATATTCCCAGCACTCAGGAGGCTGAGGTGGGTGGATCTGGAGTTCAAGGTCAGTCTATGCCACCTATTGAGACTCTCAAAAAAAAAAGTGAATGTTACTTCTAAACTTATAAAAGGATGACCTTTTTAAGCCATTACATCTAGGCAGAATCTGTTTTAAGCCTCTATAACCACTAAATGAAAATTCTATGCCCTTGCTAACAATTAATTACCAGAACAAACTTTAACATCCTTTTATCAGTCAACAACATACACCAGTGAATATGCTTTTGCAAGACAACCACTCAGTAAAAACTATTCATCAACCAATGAACAGTCTTTAGAAATAACCACACTTCTAAAGATTAAATCAACTCATTCATTGCCCTGAAAATCCACTGATGCCTGAATTTAGTGCTATCCCCAAACAGATCAGCAGTACACTCTGCTTGAAGGTAAATATACCTGTCCAGAATATTAAGTAAGCTTTGTATTTTTGTTTTAGATATTGAATTGTGATCTCATCTACGGTATTGACGGGGAAGACTGCTAACGTGCACAGAGCAAGAAGCATCAAGCTACAGACTATTGTATTAGTAACCCTACCACACGGTTGTTTGACCCAGCTGCTCAGGTGTTGCTAGAAGTATCTGTGGTAGAAAAAATTCCGTAGCATTACATATCGATATGTCATCTATTATAGCATTATATACTATATTATTATATATAGTATTGTGTTATATATTATAAATGATAGCACTATACATGGGAACTTCTGTTAATTCATAATGGAAGAGTTGCAGCTCAAATCTAAAGACACTGAGTAATCATAGGACACTACATATCCATGTAGCTTGGCCTTCTCTTTTTGGACTGGGTTATATCAGACCCACCAAATTATAAAGTCAAGTGGACCCAGCAGTAATCCATCATAAAACAGAAGTAATATATCTGAGATGAGTTCATGCACATCCATCATACACAAGAGAACTACCTGAACAGTTTGGTAATCCTAATCTTCATGAAGAGGAAGGACTGCTGTTTCATAATGTGAGCAGAAAGACACGTTTGGGCCTCACATGATCTGCTGGGACTTCTCTTAGTCTTCCATTGCCCAACTGAAGTTTATATGGGAAACTTTAGTAACTATAATCTGATAAGTATTTAGTGACCAACATACAAAACTCCCTAACAGTAAAACAAATCAAAGAAGAGGAGGATCTAAAATGAGTGGTGGAAAGGAAAATGATGAGTATCAAAGCCTAGAATCAAACACAGTAGCAAGGCTATATTCCACAAAATCATCTTTTGTAAGTTCTCTCACTTTGCAGCCAACCAGGACCCAGGAGAAGCCATGCATAGATATAGTGAATTTAATGTGAAAAAATGTGTGAAGTCAGTTGGTGCAAGGGGTGGACTGTAGTGAATCATTTACCACTGCACTACTCTCATCTATATTGATTGGCACTGTATAGCTGTTTTGTCTTCTAGAAAATTGTCATCCTCACCGGGCATGGTGCCTCATGCCTGTAATTTCAGCACTCAGGAGGCTGAGACAGGAGGATTGTCATGTGTTCGAGACCAGCCTGGGCTACAAAGTGAGCTCAAGGCCAGCCTGAACTGCAAAGCAAGACCCTGTCTCAAAAAGACAAAAAAAAAAAAGAAAGAAAGAAAATTGTCATCCTCTTTGCATAAGGATACAAAAAAAAAACTTATTCTTTCAACATAGGGAACCAATTATATGGTCCAACTGGTGCTCCAGAGCTTTCTTGAGAATCAGCTGAGATCATATTCCTGCCAATGTTTCACTAATTGCCTCATCCTGCTCTCATCCTTCTTCAGAAACTTCTCTCCCAATAAATCCCTTAAACAAGAATTCCTGTATCAGACTCTGCTTCTAGGAAGTAAACAGGCCTTCTGACTTTGAGTTAGAAGACTTTGGAATGGAGGCAGTCCTGAATATCTGAGGCCTAGAGATTGGATACCTGTAACTGTGTTTTGTGTTTCCAGTCCTCAGCTTCTGTACCTGGAAAGGAAGAATTCTCACTTGAAAATTTCTTTGCCCCCACCATCCCTGGGGCATGTAGTTGGGGAAGAATACAAACATCAGGTTAGCTGGTGTCTTCAGCAGCAGGCTCTGGTGTCTCAGGGGCTTTCAGATAAATGACACCTTCCTATTCTTTGCATTACCCCAGGGATCATGGCAGTCACAGCTGCTGATGGCCAAAAACACAACACTCTCCTTGTGGGTCCCACAGGAGCTGACACAGACCCAGTGGAACTGAGTGGGTCCATGATCTGAGACCTATTGCTTCCTTATACTGTCTGAAGCTGACTGCACCAAATATGTCACTGGCAAACAATTGTTATTTATCACCTGTAATTGTTTCAAACTGTTGCCCAGAGGTAGGAGAATGGACCTAATGACTTTTAGAGAATTCATTCACCTAGGCAGCCTATAATCAATACAATGATTCTGGGACCCCTGAGGGAAAGTCACAGAGGACTCATGAGAGTTCTGCACAAACATCACAAGTACCATTTGTGCCATCTGATTTCTGATCCCCAAGATTATACACAATCAAGAAGACTTGGAACTACAAAGGAATTCAAGAGCATATTAACCCCTCTTTTAACTGTCTTTTTCCATTCTCATCCCAGATCCACCTGAACTACACCCCATTGTCCACTCAGGCTCTTATCCGGTGAAAGTTGATGAGCATTCTTGTTTGAGGTTCTTTAATCTAGTGACCCCTGCTTCAAATCATCCCACTTTTTTATACCAAACTACTGATAAATTGTAGAAATAAGAGTAGGTTGTGCCTTGGACCCGGTGACCAGAACTGACATTTAGATTGCTCAGACTCCAGGCTAAAAGCCTAGCCTGAATCTGACCCTCCTTGCTGCTCATCTTTCAGGAACATTTGCTTTGCTGATGCTTTTGCCATGAGGAAGTGTGGCAAGCCGGCTTGCTGCTGGCACCTGCCACACTGTAGCATAACACCAATACTAATGGCAGAAATAATCACAGTGACAATGATGATTTTGTCTACATGCACAAGGCACTGGTCATCTCCCCACAAGCTTCCCAGCCTGGGGCTCAACTGATGATGGTGGGGCCTCTGGCCCACAACCCACACTGTCACAGTCACACACTAGATTCATCTGAATGGTTGATGTTATTATTAGAGTCATCATAATTCTTGATAATTATTAATTTATTCTTGCAGAGCACATTTACTGAAGACATACTGCATGCCAGGAACTGTGCAAGAATTAATATCAACACTTTCAAGAAGTATTCCAAGTGATAGAGCACTTACAAGGCCCTGGTTTCAATCCTCATCACTAGAAAAACTGTAGTCCATTGGGAGAAGACAGAATGGCACATAATGACATTATAATATTCAGCAGATTGATAAAGATGAATAGATTCTCAGTGCATAGAAAAATGATAGGAAATAACCCTCAATAAACGTATGGATGACTATTGAATGAGCTAAAGTCAAATGAATATACAAAAAGTTATAGAATCTTAGAGTGGGAAAGAAAGTGATTTTATTGGAAAGGAATTAAGGAAGGCTTCCAGGGGACATGAGCTGAGCTCTAAAGTTGAAAAAGCAGCACAGTGTACTGATTGAGAGCAGGCCATCTAGATCCAGATGTCTGGATTTGAATGCTAACTCTGCAGTTGGTATTGAACTTCTCTGTGCTACCCCTTGGTTGCTCCATCTGTTAAAATGGGTTATATAATGGGGCTGGGGATTTAGCTCAGCGGCATAAGTGCCTGCCTTGCAAGCAGGCAGTCATGAGTTCGATCCCTGGTACCGATAAAAAGGAAAAAGACAAAAATAAAATAAAATGGGTTATATATTGTAGTTTCCTTTTTTTTTTTCTGTTTTGGTGAGGCAGAGCTTCACTATGTAGTTCAGCCTGGCCTCAAATTTACAGCAATTCTGCCTCAGCCTCCCTAGTGCCAGGATTACAGACATGCACCACCATGCCTGACCTGTAGCTTCCTTATAGAGTTGTAAAGATATCATGAATTGATGTTTGTAAAGTGATTATATAATTAAATATACATGCATGTCTAAAAAATAAATCTACTGTCTAGGAGCCTGTCAAACTAACAGAGAAGAAAGTTAAATGCATACAGACGAGCCTTCCAACCAATAGAAAGGTTTCCAATAGGATGGCATCCTCAAGAATGGTAGGGAAGGCAGGTGGATAGCAGGCAAAGATTTGACTGAGTATCTCAAATTACTAGGGTAAGTGGAATGGTAAGTAATTACTTAAATTTTTTTTGTTTGGCAATAACTAGATTTATAGAAAAGTTGCAAAATAGTGCTTAACAATCCAATATATGCTTTATTCAGTTTCCCCAAATAGTTAAATCTCAAAAGGAGCCATTGCTTTTTAAGGAAGAACAGGACACACACAGCCAAGTACATATTTTAGAAAGCTTGTCATAGCAGTTTTAAGGTAGATAAATTTAAGAGAAAGAAAGTTGGTCCCAGCAGGTCCATGAAGGGGCTGTCAGCCTCATCCCAAAGGACTGCAATGCAGTCAGGCAGGCCTGGGACAAAAAATATAATAGTTATTTGATATTTATTGACTACTTTTTTCTTTCAGTACTAGGGATTGAACACAGGGCCTGTACAGTAAGCTATATACCCAACCTTTTTTTGTTTTGTTTGTTTGTTTGTTTGTTTGTTTGAGACAGGGTGTAAATCACTAGGTTGCCCAGACTAGGCTTGAATTTGAGATCTACCTGCCTGAGTTTCCCAGAGTGCTGTGATTAGGGAAATGCAGCACCACACCCAGCTGCATACTTTTTGAGTAAATCAAGACAGTCTAACTCCTGGGCACATAGAGTTTACAAATGCTAATTCAGAAGCACTTTGGAAAGTCTGTCCCATGGTCAAACAGCTTCTAATTCAATGCTTGTTTGTTTGTTTGTTTATGGAGATGGTAATTGATTCAATCAATATAACCTAACACTATATAGTTTTTAAAAAACAGCTAAAGCAGAAGTTGCACACATGGTGTCTGCTCTATACTAAGGCGTTACGAGTGCAAGAAACAGAAATGCATGCATGCCAGTCTTATGAATGGTGGTTTGTAGTAGAAAAAGACAGGGAGGCTGACCAAACCCCACACATGCACACAGGAAGTATAGTTGATGTGCTCTGGAATTAGCAAACGATCAGAGACAGTTCCTGCTGTGGCTGTCTCTTAGGGTATCAGGAGTTCTTGCCTCTACATTTTTCTGCACATCTCCTCCAATCTCCTCAGCAAATTAGTCTCCTCTGTTTTCACATTTCTTTTCTTTTCTTTCTTTCTGTCTGTTTCACTATGCAGTTCAGGCTGGACTTGAACTCACTATATAGCCCAAGTTGGCCTCAAACTCACAGCAATCCTCCTGCTTCCGCCTCCTGAGTGCTGGGATTACAGGTATGTACCACCATGCCCAGCTCACCCTCTTCTGGTTACACCAGAAATGGGTAGCTTTACCCTCCAGTACATGCAGTTGGCAAGAATCTGATTAATTCAGTGTAGGCAACAAGCTATCTATCTAATTATCAGTAACTGAGGGATACAGAGGTCTCTGCCTTCTGGAAGAAAATATTCCTGGGACAAAAATTAAGTGTATCTCTAAAACATAATCTTTTCCCTGAAATTAAATAAAACTGATGAGTATGTCAAAACATCTGTTAATGTGAGTGGAATGTCACTTTTGAGAGTAGGAGGCGCCTGGATGTTTATTCCAGCCCTAGAAACACCCCTTTCCCCGGATGACCCACTGATAACTACCTCTAAGCTCAATTTATAGAATTCAGCCCCCACCAGGAGATCTGACCATATCAAAAACAAGGATCAAAACCATTTTTAGCAATTTAAAATAACTTGAGAGTGGGCAAAACTTCTGGACCTATGTCAATAGGATAGGATAGGACTTGAGGTGGAAGAGGAGGGCTGCTTTGGGGGGAATAATGTATTCTTTTAGGAGCAACCACCTGCACTTTCTTTCTCTCTTTCTTTCTTTTTTGGTGCTGGGTATTGAACTCATGACCTTGGGCTTGTGCATCAGGTGTTGTACCACTGAGCTATATCCCCAGCTCCCAACTGTGCTTTATATTGTTAGTGGTATTTCTTGTGGTATTTCTTAGCATTATGTTCGCTAAATGTATTGAGTCTTCATGGAAAGGCTGCAGAACTGACATTTTTATCCCCATATGCAGCTGAGGAAATTGAGGTGGGAAGTGAAGTAACTGATCCAAAGTCACCCAACTAGCTGCTGATCTAAGAATGGAACCTAGGCCTTGTGGACAGCTAGCCAAGAAATCCACCATGCTACTCTCCCTGGCTCTGATTTAGGGAGAAAAGTCATTTCTGGAGGAGAATAGAGAGACAGGCAAAGCTCACAGGTGGCCAGAGGTGCAGAGAGTTATCCAGCCTCTCACTGGATAGGCTGATGAGACTGGTCGGGGACTGTACAGAATGAAGAATCGATCTGCTATTCCATGTGAAAATGGATTGTAGCCCCAGCCTGTGTGTGTCAATGGAGCTGATTAGCACTTGCGTGAGTCTCCAGCCATCGATTGGCAAGTGAGAATCGTTCTGGGAACAGCAGGGAGCCAGCCCTCTCCCACCCCCATTCATACCAGCTTCCCCCTTTCACAGAGATTCTTTGTGCCCACCCTATCTATGCCACCTGAGTCTCTAGCCTTCTCTAACCCCCATGCTTCATGGATGCCCAGAGCTCCTGTAGTTATTGCTAACCTAAAGAGCGCAGCATGACTGATATCTACCTAATTCAGTCAATCCAGGTGCACCTGGGAGAGGAATGGATGGCCTTCAGAAAAGCACTGCCTGACTTGAAGATATAACATGGATATGTGGGTGCAATATTCATCTTGGAGCTTATACCATGTGAAGGAAAAGGCAAAGGTTCTGCACACATAAATCATGTAGCCCTGGGTCAGTTGTTTGCCCCTTTAGAGCCTAGTTTCCCTATGTATATGGGATCAAAACTAGCTGTCTCAGAAAGAAAGCTTTCTCACTGGATCATTTGGATTAAATGAAGAAGTCTATAAAAATGAAGTATATGTAAAAGATCTTTGCAGTCCCTGGCATATAGCAGAAACTAAACATATTAGTTGGAAATTGACTCCCCATTCTTCTCAAGAGGCTCCCACTCTGTTTGACCTCATTTCTATCTCTATTTTCATCATTTGAGTGTAATACACAAGTGACAGCAAAACTCTCTTTGACCTGACCTGGAGCAAATCTGCCTTCAAAGAAGCTCAGCCCATAATGTTGGGTTGCCTTTGAGGAAGTAAACTGTCAAGTTCCAGCAAAAGAACCGACAGGCTCAGGTTCATCAGAGCCTCCCCAAGGTCCATCTGCACCAAAAGGTTGCATCCTAAGCTTGGCACATGGTATTTGGGGGCTGCGCTGGCCATTCGTCACTGCCTGTCTGTGGTCCCTTCTATTACCCCCAATTGTACCAAGTCCATGTGTCAGGCTTCCTTTATTAGTTTTTCCTCCTGATCCCATCAGGCTGGAGTTCTGCCCAGTTAGCAGAGGTCCTGATCTTGCCAGACTTCTCCCCAGGGGTCCAGATTTGTCAACTAATGGTTGGCTTCCTGCCCCAAGTGTCGAAGCCATCTGTCACAAGAACTTGACCTCGGCAATGTCTGGGTTGTATACTACATAACCAATTAAGTCTTTGATAGTGCAGACAGAAGAGAGCATCACCTTGGATCTTCATACATGCAGATTATGACTACATTATAGGTCCTGAGGTAGACTAATAAGGCCACAGTAACAAATGAAAATCGTACTCAGGACCATGAACAGATGCCACGGGAGGAGGTTGCCTGGGGTTGAAGATGGTGGCCTTAACCCTAAACTGAAACACTAACAGAAGCATATTTTCAGTACCATGGACAGACACCACCCTCAAAGGACAGTCTTCAAGGACCTGAACAGTGAAACATCCTTCTGATTATAAGAAATGGAAACCTACCTCGAACTAACACAAGCTAATATTTGCATGAGTTGGATGAGTGAGATGGAGCCTCTGGAGGCACTGAATGTCAGGCTTGTTGTGAAAAACAGTTTAAAGTTATAGGGACATCTTCTTTTACCTTAATGCAAGATGTGGTTACTTTAACAAATAATTTAACTATTCAAATTATTTATTTCTTTCTGAATGAGTTTGGCCTATTGAGGAAAACTATATATTTTTATTCCAGGTGTTGGTATAAAGTTGTTTGTAGTATCTCCCTTTTTCGTGGTACTGGGGATTGAATTCCCAGGGTCTTTGCACAGTTACATCTATTGTATCTTTTCTTTTCTAAAATGGAGTCACTAATTTGTAAGTTTCCAAGGCTGGGATTGGACCTGTGACCCTCCTACCTTAGATTCCCCAAAATATTGGGATTACAGGTGTGCCATGACATCAGTTTATTTTTCTTTTAATTTTTTCCAGTTCTATACAGATAACCTTCTCTGGTCCTTGGTATTAACATTGGTAATTTTGTTTGTTTTTCATTTTTTGTGTTAGTAATGTGTATCTTCTCTTTCTTTTTCCTGACTAGTCTGGCTACATTTTTACCAGTTTCATTGATGAGTGTAATGTGTGTGTGTGTGTGTGTGTGTGTGTGTGTGTGTGTGTGGTACTGGAGGTTGAACACAGAGATGTACTGCCACTAGCTACATCCCTAGCCCTGTTTTTATTTTGTTTGAAACAGCATCTTGCTACATTGCCCAGACTTGGCTTAAACTTGCAATTGTCTTGCCTCAGCCTCCCTCAGTACTGGGATTATAGCCATGCACCACCGTACCCAGATTCATTGATTTGTTTAACATCTTTTTCTTGCAATTGTCTCCTTATTCCAATTTATAGCATTATCATTTTATTTTTGTTGCATCTTAGAGGCATTCATGCCCTGCCAAGTGAATATTTCTAAAACATCTCTTTCACCAAGTGTGGTGGCACATATCTGTGACCCCAGCACTAAGGAGGCTGAAGCAGAAGGATCACCATGAGTTCAAGGTCAGCCTAGGCTACATAGTGAGTTCAGGACCAACCTCTACCTCATAGTGAAATTCTGTCTCTAGAAAAATTAAAGGTTAAAAATCCTCTCTTATTTGAAGACAAAAGACAAATGGTTTCTTATTTCTTTTGAATAATTTCTAGGCTCTGCCCACTTTACATCAAGGACCTTCTCCAGCAGTGACAATCATTTCCATCTCCATAGTTTCTCATACTCTTCCTCTGCACAAATTCACTTTTTTCCAGCCAAATGGGTTCATTTGTCATTCACATAAAATATAAATGATTTTTCAGTGCCATGCTTCTACAACTCTGCTGAGGGAAGAATACCAACCAGACTCAGAGACTGAAGACCAAGATTGGAAATGGTAGTTATTACAGTATGGATCATCTGACCTCAATTACTTTGTCTGCAATATGGGGTAATAATGCTGCATTGCAAAGACATTCGTAATTTATTCAGCAAGTGCTTGTTATGAAAATATGCCCTGAGGCTTTCCTATATATATACACACACATGTCCATGTGAGTACATGCATGCCTATGCATGAGGGGAAGAAATGCTGATGCTCCTGTCAAAGGGTTGTGCCCTGAAGACAAATACAAAGACTGATAATGGAATGTACTATGTGCTCACTATATATATTAAGTGACCACTCTGTGAGGTTCAAGGCACATAACTGTGCAGACTTCTCTGCCCTAATGAAGTTTACATTTAATCTGTACAACCTCGTCTTATGCTCAGTCTTCTAGAATTCACAATTGTGGGCTGCATTTTGATTCAGGAAATCAATACATGTACATTGTTTTAACAAGTCAACTTGTACTACAGTACAAAAAGTAAAAAAAGTCAACTAGTACTACGAGTACTAGTTACAAAAATAGAGTACTCTATACCTTACTCAAGTCTCATTCCCTAAAGCAAGAACTTAGTATTTTAGGTGAATCTATGTTTTAACCTCTAAATATTCTTTTTGCTTTTGCTTTGTTTTGTTTTTGGTACCAGGGATCAAACTCACAACCTAGCACTTGCCTAGCACTTGCCAGGCAGGCGGTTGTGCAGTTGAGCTATATCCCTGCCTCAGCCTCCCAAGTGCTGGGATTAGAGGCATGTGCCACCACACCTTCTTGACATATTTTTTTTGAAACAGGGTCTCGCTGTGTAGTTCAGTCTGACCTTGAACTCACTACATTGCCCAGGCTGACCTAGAACTTGCAACAGTCCTCCTGTCTGAGTTTCTGGGCACTGGGAATACAGTCATATGCCACCATACCCAGAAAGTTAAATCATATTTTTGTAAAATCAATATTCAATGTTTGCTTTTTGTATACATAATTTACTGATGAAACTAATCTTGCATTATCTGGCTTATTTAGATATTTTTCTTCCCTTGTGATAGTGGTTTTGTCTGGTTGTTGCTTTGTTGCTTTCCTCATTTCCCTAGTTTTTCAGATCTTTATCTAAATTTGTTCCCAAACTCTTCAGTAAAATGCAAATGTCTTCCAAATGTTAATTTCCATGCAATGAATCCCATCAGGTAATCTATTAAACCACTTGATATTTCTTTTCCTATAGGAGACTCTCAAAGTCTTCCAACTTTCTCTGGGTGTTCTACACAGAACTTCTTCAGAAAATTCTTTTATTATTTTTAGAAATCTGGCCCCATTTTCCTAGATCCTATATACTTTTTTCCTTCGTGGTTTAGTCTTTTGTGTGTAGTTGTTTTTTTTTTTTGTTTGTTTGTTTTTGTTTTTTTGGAGGGTGTGCAAGGTGTTGCCTGGGGACTGAACCCAAGGACCTCACATTGAGCTACATCCTAAGCCCTTTTTTATTTGGAAACAAAGTCTTGCTAAATTATTAAGTGGCACAAGATGAGCTTGAACTTGTGGCTGCCTTGTCTCAGCCTGCCTTTTGGTCCTTTTTTTGCCTTTTGTTTTAACAGAACACATTCTTGGCCTTTTGTCTAAGACCATGTGTAATAAAACACATGCTTTTGTAGCTTCCTGAGAAAGAATGCACGATGCTTGTAATCCCAGGACTTGAGAAGTTAAGAGGATCGCCATGAATTCGAGGCCATTTCCTGTCTCAAAAATTACAGGGTAAGATCTTGTCTCAAAAAATCCTAAGAAGTAAAATCTTGATTATTGCATTTCAGAAAATTATTTATTGATAATTAATTATCAGCAAGTTCCAATTGATTTGAAAAGTGGATGGTGTAGAAATTCTTTGGAATTTTGAGGCATTTCCTAGTATGGTGGTTGAGTAGTCCACTGATACTCCTGGTTCTACCTTATTTTTTGTATATATCTTGTTCTTCCTATAAGGAAACCTTTGCTATTTTACTTGTATCTTTGTACATAAAAATTTCATTCTAATGAAACTTGGTGTGGTCCTATTTTCATTGATTATATTGTCCTACTTTTGTTAGAATTCTTTTTGTTGTTTTCTGGAAATATATCTTTTTCCTTTGAGAAATTTTCTCCTATTATTTCTATGGTAATCTCCATTATCTCCTCAGAATCTAATGGGTTTTTTCTCTGTCCAGTGTCTCTAGTGGAAAATCCACCATTCTCCATCATAGAGGGGACATTCCCGGCCATAAACCTTCTAAAAACGGTATCACATAAGCCCTAGGATTTCACTGTCCAGACTGTTCCCCACTCCCTTCCTTTCATTCTGACGGCGTTCTTTGCTTTGTGTTGTGCCCATTGTTCTTGGACTGCACCCCCCGCCCAGTTCCCTTACTTTTTGCTTGTTTTCTTGCTTGTTCATTTGTTTTTGGCAGTGCAGAGGAATGAACCCAGAGACTCATATACGCTAGGCAAGCGCCTTAGCACTGAGGTTCATCTCCAGATCACTCCCTGGGTCAGTTTTTAAACATAATAAAACTTCAGTCTCTGCCAGGATAAGAAAGTTACAGTCAACTCTGTGTGTGACAGTTAAGAGCCCAATTTTTTAGGTAGACTTTTATCCCATTCCCTTATTCTACCTTTTGCAAAAACTGATACCCCGGGGCTGAGGATTTAGCTCAGCGGCATAAACACCTGCCTTGCAAGCAGGCAGTTGTGAGTTTGATCCCTGATACCAATAAAAATGAAAAAGACAAAAAAAAAAAAAAAAAAAAAAAAAAACAACTGATACCCGCAGTGTCCATCTTTCCCTGGTCTTGAGACTCCAATTGGCTAATTTCTCTGTGTGTGTGTGTGTGTGCGCGCGCGCGCCCATTTTGAGACAGGGTTTTATTATGTATTTCAGGCTAACCTTGAACTTTCAACAATCCTCCTGCCTCAGCCTCCCAAGTGCTAAGATTATAGACATGCACCACCATACCCAGCCCAGGCACTTTTTTGTTGTTGTTTTTGCTATAGCATTTGGTATTCAGCTATCTCAGCTCTGCCAACTTCTCTGTCCAGTTGTCATCTTCCAAAAATATGTTGACATCTGTGGTCCATCACTGGCCCCTTTATATTCCTTTGCTTTCATTTTTGTGAAATTTGTTGAAGGAACAGACATAAATATATTATTCCATCTGCCACATTTAACCAGAAATTTTTAAAACTGTGTTCTTAATTAAAATGCTATATTGCCTCTCAAATGAGACAGTACCTTTGAGATCCTACAGCCCAGTGAGGATGAAATGAGATTACACATGTGAGCATATTTGGCAAAACCTAAAGCACAATGTAAATGAGAATCTACGTCAATCCCACTGTTCTACTTTCTCTATTCTTTGATTTCTCCCCATCTTCTGTACACCACTGAAGCGTCCCTCCTTCTTGGTGCTCCTGATCAACCCAGCTTACAGTGATGTCCCTGAGCCCGGAACTATGGAACATTCTCTTAGTACCTGTCTTGGCCCTAATCAATGCTGTTTTATTCTACTGTGGGCACAGAGCTGCCGGCTATGGCATGTAATCATGGGCGGCTTCTCTGTGTACAAAACAGAGCTTTCCTCCTTTCTCCTGCAGGAGGAGACTCGGGCTTGGCTGATAAGGATTAGGTTTAGAATAGAGGGAAGCTGTGTTTTTCTCTTGTTGACTTTAGATCACAAAACAATTCCTGCTGCTCTGTATGCAGCCTGAGCTGTGGCATGGCCCTCAAATCTCCCTCTCCCGCTCCCAGACCTCTCTGGGAACCGGGATTGATGACAGTGGCTGCACCAGCAAGTCTGCACACTGGTCAATGTCTTAAGTCTTTTTACTCCGTGACTTACCAGGGCTCTGATGTGCGTTCTGAGAGACTGGACTCATATCTGAAGAGCTTGACCCAGGATTGTGATGGAAGATGAACTGTTCTCTGGTTGGAAGTAGCCAGTCTTTACCTCAGAAATACCCTGATTATTTTCTAAGAGACAGGCTCCACCTGATAGTCTTTACAGAACGCACGCATTATTCCACTAGGATGAAACGTGCCATTCCTCGCTCCTTGTCTAACGTGATGATTATGAAGGGGACTGAGTTTTTCTCCAGGTTCGCAGGAGGGTCTCTGAAAGTCAGCATTTATGTCCTAAAGCAGACACAATCCCACTCCCAGACTGCAGGACACATTTTCATGCAGCAGCAACAGCATTTCTCTACCTCATTTGCATGCAGAAATTCAACCCCCTTGGATTCTCTTCTGTCCTTCCCAAACCCTTCATTTCAGGAGAGCTTTGAGGATGAGATGAGTTGGGCTGGAAACAGCCAGCAGAAGCAGCTGGGTAGGAGAAAAGAGAGAAAGTCAACAAGGCAATCATGGCACTTTCCCTACCCCGCATGCTACAAATTGTCCCAGACTTGGGATTCCTCTCCCTCACTTCTTACTGGTCCTCTGTGGCTATCGAGCATTCGTGATATAACTAGTACTAACCGGGGTGAGCTGTAAATAAGAAACACATACCAGAATTTAAAGGCTATTTTTTTAAAAAAAGGACTGTAGGGCTGGGGATTTAGCTCAGTGGCATAAGTGCCTGCCTGGCAAGCATGAGGTCATGAGTTCCATCCACAGTACCAAAAAAGAAAAGGAATGTGAAAAACTTCATGGAAACTGTTTGCATGTTAGTTAATTATAAATGAAATGATAGCAATTTGATTTATTTCTTTTGTACCAGGAATTGAACTCACAGCCTCGCACCTGCCAGGCAGGTGCTGTGCCGCTGAGCTTTATCTCTGGCAATGATAGCATTTTGAATATCTGGATTATACAAAATACGTTACTAAAATTAACTTTATCCATTTTTAATTTAATTTAATTTAATTATATTTGTGCTTAAATTATATTTCTATAGAGAGAACTGGTCCAGAGTTCAGCCTGATTCCAGACTTCTTCATTGATCCCTAATCCCCTGTTTGGCTCCTGTCATTTCTTTCTACATAAAGGAGACTCTTGTCATTACTAGGATCTCTTACTAAATGGAATCACAGATAGAATGCCTCTGTTGCTATCTGATATGCGCATCATCTCCTACCTTAGTTCCTTCTGGTCTAGGGTACAGAGGTATAGACAGAGTACTCTTTTCACCTTCCCAGGATGCATTGTGATTGACATCTTGGCAGATGCTGGGAGGCTCTAGCCTAGACACAGGGTCAGAACCCTCCAGGAAACCCTGGGTAGCTGGACCCACACTATCTGGCAGAGTAAGGCCAGGTGGCCACCAAACCACGTCTTTTTCTCATTTTAACTCCTTCCCTCTTAAGTGCCCTCTCCTACCCTCCTCCCCTTCTCTTCTCTTTTCAAAGTCTAATTCTGAGCAGCCGGCTCTGTTCAGCCTGACTGGTTTGTTATGGCTTATAATCTGCGCCAGGATTAATTAGCTAATTACTGACAAACGTCCGCTGGCAAGATTCTGCTCCAACTTGTCAGCTTGAAGTGTTTAATTATTTTAATCATTTACTTTCATCTTCAAAATGTATGCTGCCAAGGGAGTTGCAGGGCATCTTTTAATTATGATTTGGGGTTTCTGCTGGGCTGGGTTCTGTTCCTGGGGACAGGGAACATTATTTTTTACTATTTTTCCACCAAAGCCTCAACACCTGTCTGGCTTCATGTTCCATGAATGGGAGATGGAATGGGTTCCAGGTCCTCTCTGGACGTTACTCCTGTATCCTAGAACATAACATGCATGGATATCAGATGGAAATTTGAATTTTCAGGGACACTCATTATATGCTAGATAATAACCTAGATATTTATTTGTATTATTTCATATTTTTTTTTGGTCTTTTTCCTTTTTATTGGTACCAGGGATCGAACTCACGACCACCTGCTTGCAAGGCAGGTGCTTATGCCGCTGAGCTAAATCCCCAGCCCCATTATTTCATATTTTTGAGCATAAAAAATATGAAAGCTACTTGACAATTAGGGTAACCCAGGGTGGTCAGAGGGGAAAAGACAGTAAAGAGTTCTTTTATTGATTAATTGATATAATTTAGGTGTTATAAAGTGAGATATAAATTTGAATCTCCATGAATTGTCACACCATATATGTGCACATCACCCAGATCAATGTACCCTGAGGACTCAGCTCTGTCCCCTGAGTCAGTGCCTCCTGAAGGGGATTCTGCCTTCTATCATCAGAGATTTAGTCCTCACTCATCTGAATGGAATGATACAGCTTCTTTTACATGACTCTTCTTTCACTCAACATTTCGTCTGTGACAGGAAACTTTCTTTAATATAAATCAATGTCCTTTTACCAAGAATTTGGTTTGACTCCCACTGAGCCACCCCAAGCCCTTAGAGATACTTTGCCCTAGTTTCTTTCTTATAGGCATGTCCCTAAAAATAAAATTAGTTCAGTGGCAGTTTTTTCCTTCATTCTTTTTCTTTGGTTTCTCCTCTTCCTCTCTTTTTCTTTTTCTTTCTTCTCTTCATAATCACTCTGCTTTATTAGGAAGTTCTTTCTGAGATCCAGTTCACCCTATTCCGATCAAAAGGCTAATGAGTTTCCTAATGGCATCTGGTGCCAAAAGGGTGGTAAAGAGTCCCACTATATGAATTGTGCCCACCAAAATATGTTGAGTTCCTAGTCCCTATGCCACAAAATGGGACCTTACCTAGAGACAGGTCTTTACAGAGGTAATCAAGCTAAAATGAAGCTATAAGGTAGTCCTTAATCCATAAATATCCTTGTAAGAAGAGAAATTTTGACACTGGTGCACACAGGAAGAACACTATGCAAAGATGAAGGCAGAGCTGAAGTGATGTGTCCATCCTTCAAGGAACACCAAAGACTGCCAGCAATCTAGATATGTTATATATTGGGAGGCTGAGGTGGGAGGATTATTGTGAGTTCGAGATCAGCCTGGGCTACAAAGTGAGCTCAAAGTCAGCCTGAACTGCATAGCGAGACCCTGTCTCAAAAAAGAAAAACAAAAGATATGTTATATGCGTGTACCAATTTCCCCAAAACAAACCTCACTCCTCTGTATTACGTTTTTTTTTTTTTTGTTTTTGTTTTTTTTTTTTTTTTTGTAGCAGGGATTGAACTCACAACCTCAAGCTTGAACATGGGTTTCTCTCCTTTTTGTTTTTTTCATCAGGGTCTTGCTATTAGTTCAGCCAGGCCTTAAACTCACTATATAGCCCAGGCTGGCCTCGAACTCATAGCAATCCTCCTGCTTCAGCCTCCTGAGTGCTGGGATTACAGGTGTGCACCATGATGCCCAGCAAAATTTCTGTTTTCTAAGTCACAATTTGTGGTGCTTCATTATGGGGGCCCTAGGAAATAAACACACATAAGGGAGCTCTGGTTGGTCTGAATCTGTACCATGGGACCCACAGCAGCTTCTGCAGGATCCTGAGAATCCTTGATATAGGAGACACCAAGGGTTAACCCAGCCCCAGGCTGGAAGTAATTGAGGTGACAGCTCAGAGCTAAGACACTAAGGAAGGGAGAAAGATCAAATTAATGAGCTCAGCAGTGCCATTAATGAGGCTCCAGGCTACATCCAAGGGCTTCTGTAGTGGCCTGCACCAGGGGACAACATGCCCTAGGATGCCAGGAACCAAGCCAGGCTTGGTTTTGATGTGATGTAATCTGTCCTCTGGATACCTTCCACAGGGCCTCGCATGGGAGTAGGACTGGATACAAAGAGTCCTTGACAAATGGCGAGATGGCAGGAGACTCTCTTCCCTTTCTCTAGACCTGGCATCTGACACCGCACATAGTATCACTTTCCAATACACAAGTTCAGACGTGAGTCCACTGTTACATATGCTTCTACATACCTGTGCCAGGCTCTGCGTTGTGCCAGTCTTGGCAAAGTACTCTGTATGATTCCCTCCTCCCACTCCCAGCCACCTCTGAAGTCACATCTAAAAACGTTTGCTTCTAGGAATACAACTGAGCATCCTGCTGGCCTGTCCAACAAATGCATAGGGGGCACCTGCCCAATCCTGCAAAACCTTTTTTTGTCTGGGCCCCCTTACTGTTGCCTGCTAGAATCCCCTGACCTCTCATCCCATCTCCTTCTGAGGACCCTGACACTGAAGTCAGAGCCAGGTCTTCCAGGGTTCAAAGACCCCGCCTGATAAATGCTCTCTTCACCTACAGGCTCGTTCTGTCCCTGGAGGTGGAGTCTGGGGCCTGTCACTGCCTGTGCCTCCTCTGGCCAAGTCTAGCTGAGGACAGCTTGTGTGAGGAGGGAGGCATGCAGCCCCACTCTGAGCTGTCTGAGAAGCACAGTGGCAGGTGAGTAGGAGCTTGTGTGCTATTAACAATGTAAGGAATGAGAAAAACAAGATGGTACCAGGTTCCACCCTATTGAGAAGCACAAGCCATTCTGAAACTAAAGCCATTAAGAAATCATTCCCTTCTAAACCTCAGTTTCCTTGCCTGAAAAATGAGGATGTCATCTCTCTATAAAACGACAATCACTGGGCTGCTGATTTAGCTCAGTGGTTCAAGTTCTTGCTTCCTAAGCACAAGGTTGTGAGTTTGACCCCTGGTACCCAAAAAATTACAATTATTCATAAATTATGATTTAAATCCCTATAAAATTGTAATTAGGTTAAATGAGTATATAAATGCAAATGTCACTTGGTAAGTACATACAAAGGAATATTATTCAGCCTTGAAGAGGAACAAAAAAAGAAAAAGAGCAGAATTCTGGCACATGGTACATGAATAAACCTGAAGCGCATTATAAACCTTAAGTACCTTAAGTGAAATACACCAGTCACAAAAGACAGATACTGCATGGTGAGTTCCCTAGAGTAGTTAAATACCTAGAGACAGAGAGAACAATGCTGGCTTCGGGGGTATGGGGAGAAGGGAGTTACTGTTTAATGCAAAATGAAAAGAGTTCTAGAGGATGATAGCGGTGGTTGCAATAACAATGTGAATGTACCAAATGCCACTAGGTGGTACACTCAAAATGGTTAAAATGGTAAATTTTACGCTATGTATGTTTTACCACAATTTAAAAATAAATAATAGGGTCAGTGGCATAAGCACCTGCCTGACAAGTGTGAGGTCATGAGTTCGATCCCCGGTACCAAAAAAAGAAAATAAATAAATAAAAATAAATAACAGAGGGTGGAGAAGTAGCTCAGTGGTAGAGCACATTCTTAACACGTTCTGGGCCCAGGGTTCAATCCCCAAGACCGAGAGCAATCAATCAGTTACTTACTAATTAATACAGTATAAATGGCAAGACTGAACCAATGTGACTTTACTCAAATTACAGACACTTTCACACTTGACTCGATCACAGCAGGTCTCCTCTCCCACAGTAAATGTCCCTGATTTCTCACTTGTCATCATTTTCAAATAATTTTCTTGAAATACGCATCTGTAATTGTTGTAAGTTGAATCTCAACCTTAACTTTCTGGATACAGCAGTGTTCCAACCTTGGTTCTGCTGTGTATCAGCTGCACAAGTTTCTAGACTTCACCAAGCTCTCGTCTCCCCTTGAGGAGAGAAAGAGACTGATCTCACGGTGACACAGATGTCATGAGTACATAAAAGAACACAGAGGTCTTGGCACAAGGACACAGTGCTCAACTGTGAGGTAATACCACTGACAGACACAAAGAATCTAAATGAGGATTTTTGTCAGGGTTAGTTTCCCCACTGCTCCTGCCTGTGTCTGCATCAAACAACAGGGCTCAGAGGAAAGGGGCTGGATAGGTAGATATGGCCCTTTCTTCTTTCTTGAGGGACAGTTCTCCAGGTGGCCTTGAATTTACTCAGTTCTCTTTTTAGTTGTACATAGATATCAAGAGCAATTAGAATGTTCTGGGAGTACAATATCTTGAGATAGGTAGACACATGCTGAAACAGCCTAGTATCTGTTCCAATCCTTCCAGAAACAACATGTCCTTCAAAATTGTAGTCTGGCACCTCATGTTGCCCTGGAGTATGAAATCTGAGGGGGGCTGCTTCTGGGGCCCCTCACTTGCAGTGCAAGTGGGGCATCTATGGATGAGATTCCATCTGCCCTGGCCACCTCCCAGACCCTTGGGGAACTTCCTTGCAAGGAATCTCTTGCTGTATGTCTGTAAGAAATAAACCCACTGGGGCTGGGGATTTAGCTCAGCGGCATAAGCACCTGCCTTGCAAGCAGGCGGTCGTGAGTTCGATCCCCAGTACCGATAAAAATGAAAAAGACAAAAAAAAAAGAAATAAAGAAATAAACCCACTTTACATAATATGTATAATATGTTCTACGTCAGATTCTGGCAAATTGGTGACCAGTGTGCAATGAACCTGATTCACATCGCTTCTTTGGCCTCTTCTTTCCTCCCTCCCTCCCTTCCTTCCTTTCTTCTTTGTGTCTTTCCATCAGTAATGCCTCACTAGTTTCCCACAGAGTGTTAGGTACTTTACCAGGGCATGAGAGCATGATGTAGTTCCTGATCTCAAAGAACTCCTGGACTGTTGAGGGTTATACAGGACATTTAGTGGCTTTGGGAATACAGAAAGGAGCACATACTTGCAATGCATACATTTATTAGTCTCCTAACCTATTCAAAGTAGACAATAATACTTGACTCATTAGGTTTCTCTGAGAATGTTGCCTGGCATTTAATAAAGGTTTGATAAGCATTTGTTGAATTGAAAATGTGTTGGTATAGAAAGGAACAAAGCTTGGTATCTAAGAAAACATGTGGATGATCGAGAAGACATAGTGGGTAAATCCTGGGTTTTTAGCTTGGTTGGGAGTGGTTCTGGGTAGGGTCAGAAGAAGAGAAGGGAGAGCAGATCCGAGGAAAGACAAAGAAATTAATGTTGGATATTGTGTTTGTTACTTTTCTCTTGTGAGACAAAATAAGAAACGAAAAGTTTATTAAGCTCATAGTTTGTGGACGTTTCATTCCATAATCTGCTGGGTCCAAGGCAGGGTGGCACATAGCAGAGAGATCATGGTGACAGGAAACAGCAAAAGCAACAACAGCAAAAAGGGAGGAGCACCTTTCCATCCCTTATAGCACACGCAGGCTGTCCACCCCGGGGCGGGTGCAGCATTCACGTCACCAATGCCAGGCCATGGACTAATCACAAGCTCTAGATTCAGCCATCTTGGAAATGCCCACCTCTCATGAGCACATGAGGCTTTGGGGAGGGACATCCAGGCACAAGTCATAACAGATTTAATAAATTTAGAGGAAGACAAATCCTCAAAATCCGGTAGGAAGATGCCTCCAGTTAGGGTAGGCTAAAAGCAGCCAGACTGCAGGTGAGGCATCTGGGCTGGGAACAGAGACTAATGAGTAGGAAGAAAATGACTTGGGCATGGATGAGACTCACAGAGACTTACAGATAAACAAAAAGAGTCTATGCCAGAGTTTTGAAGAATAGGTAGAAGTGAAAGGGTACAGGACCAAAAATAAAGTATCTCAAAGGAAGATGAGAAGGAGCTGAGATTAGCTGAGATGTGGATTAACAAATGTGTCTACTGGTACAGTTCTTGCAAGGGTGGTGGGGCAGAAACCAGACCTCAGTGGGGGAGGAGAGAATGAAGGAGAGAAAACACCGCAATTCTTCTTCCAAGAGCTTGGGCAGCGGTGGAAAGGAGGAGATTTGAATGATGGCTTGAGGAAAGGGAAGTCTGGTTTGGAGTGGAGACAAGCTAGGCCAGTTGTTAGGCTAAATAAGGAGCCAGTAGGTCAGGGGAAGTGTGAAGTCAGAGGCTGAAGTTGCAGAATTGTGAAGGGTTGAAGCCAGGATTGTGGCACGTGGTAATCCCAGCACTCAGGAGGCTGAGGCAGGAGGATAGCAAGATCCTGTCTCAAAAAAAAATAAAATAAAATAAAAATAAAAATTTAAAAAGAGAAATGTAAAGGGTTGGTAAGAAACAGATACATGCAGCCTCCCGTTGGGCATCCCTTGTCGCCTTTCAGTGTGTGTAGCTGGAGAGCCCTTGCCAACATGGACTCCATCTGTGCTGACAAGAGGATCCTTTACTCCTTGGCATGGACAGAAGTGGGGGTGAAGGAATGTGATTTGGTGTCCGTGTCCACACCATCTGCACTGACAATAACCATATGTACCCAGATTCACATATAGCCTTTCCAACACACTACCTAGCATAGCAGACATCATTAATGCACATGGAATTTTTATTAAACAGGCCTCCCTATGTCTCTGATGAGTTCTTGGGGATCAAATGAGAAGCATACCTAAATGTTTTGAAAAAACAGAAGTGATATAAAGAAAATGGTTAAAGTTGTTAATGTCTTATCATTATTGACAAAGAGGTTCACATACACACACTCACATGCACCTGTGAGCACATGCAGAGGCTCTCCTCCATCAGCCTTGCAAACACAGATTCACACCCAAGCTCACATTATTAGGCTAGGGCATACGTGTTCACACAGGGGCATGAATCCACTCAGGCACACAACCTGCACAAAATGAAGCTGAGCTTCATATCTAGAAGCCAGGGAGCAGCTTTGCTCCAGGATATTTATTTCAGGAGATTCAATCTGTTTGGAGCAGGAGAGAGAGAGAGAGAGAGAGAGAGAGAGAGAGAGAGAGAGAGAGAGCCAACCAGGAACTTCTGAGTCACAGCTCCTAACCTTGGAGAGCCCTCCTACTTCAGGCCAATCCACATAGTCATCAAACACATCCCATTGGAGGCCTGCACAACCTCGCCACCCCAAGGCACTTTCTTCCCTCCTGGTCTCACTGCTGCATACCTGGCAGGTGAGCAGTATGCAGATAGGTTGTCACTTGGGTGATGAAAAAATTGAATTCAGGGAAACAAGGCATTTTCTCCGTGAAGCAGCATGTGTCTGTTGTTAAGAGGGTCTCAGCCTTTCCAAGCCCCCAGTCAGCTCTCTGCTATTCCCTTTAACAGCTGCTTCAACTCTTCTCATCAAAGCCACATCTCTGTATCTCCTGGCTTTCCTCTGAGCACAGAATCTCACTTCTTCCTCTACAAAGAGCATAAACAGGCTAGGGACCACCAGGAGCAGACCTCTCTAACTTTTTGAACCACCACCGAAGTATTCAGGGCTAACCTCTCCCTCGTGCTCCACATCCCTCTCTCCCATCCCTGTCAGAAACTTGCCTCATCAACTGTCTCCTGGTTTTTCTCTTGCATCTTCACGATCTTGCTCTTCCCCTCACATGTAAATATGGTCATCAGTCTCCTACTTAATAAAAAATACTCTGCTATTCAAAATTTTCTTCTATTTGTCACTTTGTACCTTTCTTCATTGCCAATTTTCTTTTA